ACATTAACATGGGGGGGGGGGGGGATTTTTTTTTTTAATGCAACCAATCGATTAGTTAAAAGAATAAATTGGGCAACTAATCGATTATGAAAATAATCGTTAGCTGCAGCCCTAATGGATATAGCTTTCATGATGGTCACCATCTATGTAAAGCAGTGGTTCTCAACCTTTCTAGGGCCGGGACCCCTTGGTAACATTTGCCAAGTTGTGGTGACCCCCAACGGTAAAATTTAGGAATGCACCAATAGTAGTATCTGTGTGGGCTCTCAGGAGGCTATGCGGGCTCTCAGGTAGCTAGTGGGACTCTCTGTTGGCACCCAGTGTGGCTCTTTGGTGATCAAGCACTCACCTCCTCACTCGTGCCTGTCCCCTCTCTCAGATCCCCTCCGGGTGCTGCTGCTGCAGCGCCATCTAGGAGAACTGCCACTGCTGCGCTAGGAGGAGGCTAAGGAGCCTTTTACCTAGCAAAACACAAGGCACATGGCGACCCCCTCAACTGTGGCTTGCGACCCACAGGTTAAGAACCACTGATGTAAAGATCATAGGTTTATGTTAAGTTACCTTAGCTTAAAGAAGAACTCCAGGAAAACTTTTTAATCCTTGCAGTGGGGTAACCCCCTGCACTGCAACGGTTAAATGCTTGTTTGCGTCTAGGGACAAAAATAACAAAGTTATACTGACTCGAAGCTCTGAGCCGGCCAGCTGTCACAGCACTCCCTTCAGACTGCCTCCTCCTCTGCAGCAGCATTGGAATCTTCCTTAGCATCCTCACATCTATACACTGTATATAGACATTGATGATTTACGGGAACTTAGACAGCTGCAGAGGAGGGCAAGAGACACTGGAAGGACAAGTCTAAGAAGCCAGTTTGGAGCATTGTGTGAGAATACATTTTTTCTTTTACCTAGACACAAATTAAGCACTTAACCCTTGCAGTGCAGGGGTAACCGAACTGCAAGGGTTAATGGAAAAAAAATTAAAGCAAACATGGAAAGGTGCAAAAAAACAAAAAAACAAACATACCTGCAGGACGCAGGCTGTGCGAAGATGCTCTGGTAAGATCTCCAGCATGTCTGTAAAACATCGTATGAGACCAAGCAGCCAGAAGTTCCCAGTGTTTGAATCTTCATCTACTGTATATGTAAAAGGATCCACCATATATATTACAACAGTGGGGTATGAAGTTAGGACTGCAGTTGGCTCAGCCACAGTTGGGATGCCGATTTTCTCCCTTTCTGCTGCACTGAAAACATATCAATTTCAAGAAACATTGTGTTAGCTGCTCTCAAAGTGCACACAATGCAGGGGTTAAGGCATACGTGAATAAAACAAACCAACATGTCTAGCTTGATCAAATTATGATTCACAGCAAAAAAGCTCACCTATGATTACAATCAATTTACTAACCTAATAATATGAACAAAAAGCAAAACGAGAGTTATCTATAGGTACATTTAACCATGACATGCTAGGAACCCCTAAATCTGGGCTCTTCATTGCTGAAAAAACTTCAGCTTGGTCAAAGCTCATCAGTGATTCCATCTGTCACACTTAGTGGACAACAGCAAAGCAGAAGACAGCAGGACAAAGCTCACCTTTCCAAGCTGAATGCAAACTTCGCATGAGCAGCCTTGGTATCTCCTGGTAACTCCTGGTAACTCCTTAGGCACTAATTAAGATATTGGACGCCACACCAGGGTATTTCCATGTTTTTTTTTTTAGTCATGCGGTTTAGTACAGTTGAGGATTACTACAAAAATGCTTGCTGAAAACATCTTAATTGGTGAAACAAAAGCTTGTAAAAGAGCTTAAAGGAGAACTATGGGGTCAGGGCTTTTCCCCATAGTTCTCCTTAGGGTAACGGGAGGACACAAACTAGCCTCGTCCCATCACCCTAAGCTCAGTATACCATGAGCTGTAGCTCGCAGTATACTGAGACGCCGCAGCTGAAGCGGATCCCGACAATTATGTGATGCTGGTGCCGTTAGATTTCCTTTAACCCTTTCACTGCCAAGCCCTCCGCTCAAGCCCTACACCTCAGCTGGCAACACCATTTTTGCAATTTTTCCGATTGGTTTGATACTCTATTACTGCGTTGCTAGCGTTTGTAAAATATCCCCAAAGTATATATTTTCTGAAAGCACAGGCCCTGTAGAATAAAAAGATATTGCTAATAATTTTGGAGGTCCTGCGATAATTGCGCAAATGTTTGTCAAATCAATATTAAACCGATAAAAATCTACAATTACATTGATAAAAGCACACTAAAATTAGTATCAAGGCACACAAAAAAATACGTTTGAATGAAAAGTATGAATGAACAAATATTTGTAAATGTTAAATTGCCCCTTTTTGCATATCACAACACTTTGACATGTGCTGCCAATTAATGTTATTTTGAAAAGAAAAAAAAAATCAAGCACTACGATGTGTTCTAACAACGCACTGCAGCGCATGTGCAAGGCGTACAGCACAATATGGTGCACACTATTGCACATGTACACATGTTACAGAGGCTTCCCATTCATTCAGAAACTGGTGATAGTAAAATATTTACCAAGCAATCAGCATCAAGCCGCCTTCCCGGCCAATCAGGAAGTTGGGAGGCGAGTCATTACCTGCAGCCCGGCATTCTGATTGGCCGGGAAGCAGTCTCCATACTGCCTGGTGACGAAGTAGCATGGAGCCGGCCAGTCAGGAACCTGGGCGCTGTGTAATGACTCGCCACCCGGCTTCCTGATTGGTCGGGAAGCTGGCCAATTAGGAAGCTAGTCATTACCCACCCCCTGGGTTCCTGATTGGCCAGAAAGTCGGCTCCATGCTTCCTCGTCACCTGATGACGAGGGAGCATGGAGACGCCTTCCCGGCTAATTGGGAAGTCGGGCGGAGAGTCATTACAGGCCGCCCGGCTTCCTTAATAAAACTTCTGGTATCGGCAAGCACCGGGAAAAAAAATATCAGTACTCATACCCGATACCGACATACCGGTGTTGTTGCATCCCTACCATATGCAGCTGGTTTCCGGGGGGGAATAACAATGATTTTTAAAAGTTGTGTGATATTTATTCTTTAAATTGTATTCCTCATAAAAACTGTAAAAAAACAAAATAGCCAAAAAATTAAGTAAGTGCAAGGTCCTTTGTGGAAGTGATGAAAAGTCTGGTAGCAATTTTGTGAAAGTCATAAGATAAATATACTAAAAGTATAGACAGCCATGTAAAATACTAACCTACGACAGAGATAGTAGTAGAAGATATACTCACTTTTCGGGGGTTTCTGGCTGTGTAGAAGGCGGGTTGGATTCCACCTCACTGCTGGTTTGGCTTCCCGATGGCCGCTCTCCAGAATTGGAGGAATTCTGGGTTGGACAGCTGTTGAATGCAGAAGAAGCTGTGCTATTTCCTACTGGCACTGAAGAGGAAGGTGCCTGCTGTGCAAGATGTGTTGTCCCAGTACCGTTAGGAGTAGAACTGGCAGGTGGATTGGAAGGGCATGGAGGTGCAGGTGGGCTCTGCGTTCCTTGTGAACTAGGAGATTGGCTTTTAGGCGGTAATAGTAAACTACTGTCCAGTTGTAGCGAAGACAGATAAGGAGCTATAAAAAGATGTATACATAAGTAAAAATAAGACAGACTGAATATTTTCAAATACATAATAAATATTTGCAATCTTCCTTTTAGCGGTTGCTACTCTAATAACATAATTATGAAAATATATATCTTTTTTTGTACAAACAGAAAGCAGTTAAAGTTCTCTTTACTTCTACTTTATACAAAAAGATGAAGGATGATGGCAACAAGAGCACTAAATTGATCTTAGAGAAAACAAATGAAAAAATCATCTCACCCAAATGCTGTCGACAAGTTTCAGCATACATCCGCAACTGAGCATGGTTGTCCATTTCCTCTGTAGTTGTATCCTCAGTTGATGTTTCAGATCCAGAACCACCAACCTTCATAATTCCATCACATAGAACTTTACAGATTGGCCTGTGCTGTCCCAGACGGCACATCTTTAAGAAAATAAAATTAATTAACGTCCATGTGCCAACAAATATTATTAAGGTAGAACTTAAGCAGATAGTAGCCTTTATTGATGTAAAGGAAGGGCTCCTACTAGTTGTGATTAAATATAAATCTGCATTTAAAGCTTTACAATTAAATACATGCACGCTTGTCCTGCCAGTAACAGAAATGGGGTTTTTGCACTAAAAATCTTTTTATGGCATTTCATTGAGGGACACAGGATGGAACACTGGCAGACAGAAAAATTGTAAGTCAGCCCCTGTATATCCCCTGCTCTACCCAGCATGCCTCAGTTTTGTGGTAAATCAGTTCCAAGAGCATGAACGTAATTCACAGAGGGATTGGGCCTGTGTCTCTCAATGGAACCCAAGAAAAGGATTTACGGCAAGTACAAAAATCCCAAATTCTTTCTCACCCATTGAGGGACACAGGAATATAGACTTAGTTGAGGTGCCCAAAAGACATTTCTCAAAATGCTGCACATCAGCCCAGAAACAGGACCTAGTCCCCTGTGGACAGGTCTGCCTTAGTCATAAAGAGGTTCCTATCCTTAGTGAAGAATAACAGCAGCAGGGGACCAGAGTGTTATGCCAGCCAACAGCCCAGTGGTATGCTGGGCCCTCCTCCAACAACCTTCAACTGCAGAGCAGGAGTCAGAGAAGCACCCAAAAACATGGACCCCTCCTCTATTAGCGGGGGTTATCAGTAGAGAGAAATGCCAGGGAGTGAGACTTACAATATAATCCAGAAAGGAAGTCAGGCTACCTCCATGACTCACATTTCTTCTCAGAGGGAAAGGCACAGCAGTACCAGACTGATGTCCACGGGAGACACAAAAGACCTACCCAGAGCAGAGCCTCACAGTGCAGAAGGAAACACCTGTTCTGTGGTACCAGACAACCCCAGAGACTATGATTTTTCCATAGGAGGAACCTTTGAACTGAAGACCCCTTACCAGCCACCTGACGGACAGGCTGAGAAACACACCAGGGACTACCTGATCCATAGAGACAGACACAATGCTCAGAAACTAAACCTGCAACAGAGGAGAAGGGGGACCACAAAAATGAGAGCTAAGAAGACACCACTGAATGAAATGTCCCCTAACACCTGATGCCCCAAGTAAAGAAGCAACCCTCTAATCTAACAAAGGGTTTAAAAGGTAGACCTTTCTAGCAAGGAACTAAAATGGTTATCTCCTACAAATGACAGACCGCTTTTAATAGAGCTGCAGCTAACATATATTTTCAAAATCGGTTAGCCGATTATTACGTTCGATTAATCGGTTAAATCTGATAAAAAATAAAATACATTTTAAAAAATGGCTCCAGTGATGGACTACTAGTTTGTATTGAGATTGCAGTCCATCACAGGAGCAAGCTTGGAGCGGTGGAAGTAAAAAAATAAAACAAAGTGTGGTGTGCAATATAGTGAAATGAAAAGTGTAAAATCATACAGCAATTAATGCAGAATGGCACCAGCTATAGAGGACTACAAAGCCCAGCAATAGTACATTATACAGCACAATGCAGAATACCGCCAGCTATAATGTACTGTTGCTGGGATTTGTTGCATTCTTATATAGCTGGCCGTATTCTGCATTGCGCTGTATAATGTACTATTGCTGGGTTTTGTAGTCCTCTATAGCTAGTGGTATTTGGCATTGCACCACTGTATAATGTACTATTGCTGGGATTTGTTGTACTCCTCTATAGCTGGTGGTTTTCCGCATTGTATTGTCTATCGGCAGCTGTCATCCCCCCACACCTGCTCCTCCTTACTTCTTCTCCCCGCATCCCTGTGCCGATCGTGGATGTTGACAACTTTTTCAATAATCGACTTAGTCGATTAGTTGTTGTAGCCCTAGTTTTAATGTTGAAACCTGACAAGGCCAGACCCAAATCACATCTTGCAGGGGTGTTATGCCCCTCTGGGACTTGTTTACTAGGATCACAGACACTAACTCTCTTCAAAGCAGGTTGTCTGGGTGTCCCTAATTGGGGATGACCTAGTCGGTCAAAGAATCTCTAGAGAGAGAGGACAGTGGGAGGTACCCAGTACCACTAAGGGTCTAGAATACCCCAAAAGAATGGCAGTTCTCTAAGTAAGAGTGCTAGCCCACATGGGGCCCAGCTCCAGAGGCTGAGCTGACATAGGGACTGGAGCAGGTGAATTAATCTATGTCGCATCACAGGGAAGAACGGGGGAGCAACTGAAGAGTACCAGAGGCCAGGAGATAGCCTGTAAGTCTAATGGGGAGAACTCTGGACCTGTATGCCTAAAAGGCCAACTGAATCAAGGACCCGCAAAGATGCACAAACAGCCCCCCACCTGTAGATGTCAGCCGACTTCTTCCTAGATCCCTTACATTGCGACAGGAGTAGGCTGGGGCTTTCTTTGGAATTCTTGATCAAGGTATTAAGAGTAAGGCCAAAGCGAAGCCATACCTCAAAAGGGAAAGCAATGTGGCATCAGTATCCCAGCATCTAAACCAAGGAGCTCTGAGCATCTGACTGGATAGCAGACCCATGTGGGATAAAAAATGTTGATGCTTGTAAAAAGTCATCACAGATGAAGCATAAGGCTCCAGACATCAATTATACACGCTCAGTTGAGAATGGGTCTACCCAGCAGCGAAAAGATCATTTTTTGACATATTCTGCCTCAGTTTGATAGACTAGATTGAAGTGCAGGGCAGGGGTGACCTCTGGCTTCCTTAGTGGTGCCTTAAAATGTTTGCACAGCGCCATGGTTTTCCATGATGCAGGTGGGCCGGCTGCCGGCACCATGGAAATTAATGGCGCTAAGCCAAGGAGGGTTTGAGCCATTCAGAAGAAGACCTCCCATCTTCTACAATGTTTTTTACATGTTAGACTGGGGTGCCTCACGATTTTGCATAATTTTATAGGATGCCATGCAAAAAGGTTGAGAAATACTGGTCTTCCAAGTGCCACAATGCAGAACTCCATGCCCTAAGGTCATATTCCAGACAAACCCCACGTGTTCAGTTTAGAAGAAAAAAAGGCTAGCAAAATTTGGTTAGACTTTCCGTAGCAGAGCTAAAGAAAAGACTTCCAAACTCCTAAGAAACTAGCACAAAACTATAGCATGCTGGATAGAGGATAGGTATTATGTGGGGTATTTGCCAGTATTTAATCCTACTCTAGGCGGCAGTATAACTCCAACTGTACTGAATTCCTGCATCCCTCAGTGGGCAAGAAAGAAATTTATATTAAGCAGTACGAGAAGAAAATTATTTCAAGCCAGGCAACCCTGCTACTTCTTACCTCATATACTGCACTGAGGTCACTGAAGAAAGATTTTGCTCCATTTAGTAGTGCTGGATTTTCAGGACACAACACCAAGTAACCTACATCTTGCTGCCCACCAAAGGGCTCTAGAAGCAGACGCTCCCAGAAAGGAAGAGAGAAAGGAGCAATGGTCAGGAAGTCTTTGTCATAACCAACCAATAGGTTGGGTATAGGTAGTGGCTCTGGAGATTCTTCAGATCCTATGAACACAGAAAACAACAATAAAAAGGAGAAATGTTATATTAACACAGACAAAACAGAGTCAAGTTAAAATGGATTTCTCCTCGCATCAAAAAGGTAGGTAGGTTCATTACAAGTTTACTGCTTTTCTTATAAATACTCGCACTTTAAAAAGGGACAAAAAAAGTGTTGCACCACTTTAATCATTTGCATCTGACCAAGTATAAAGCTGCATCTTTATAGCAAAGCAAAAGAACAATGAAATCTGAATAGAAGCTCATTAGTTCAAAACATAACAGGGGGGTAACTAATCACAAATGTAATGATAACCCAATGCCTGGTCTGTGCTAGTTTAATTACACTCTAAAAGAAAATGTTTGAAACCACAATAATCAGGGAGGGCCCTGGTCAAATATTGAAATATTAGCCTTAAACCGTGCTCATGTACAAATAAACTTTGCCATTAGCCTATAAAGAGTTGTTGGGTAATTAATGATGAACGCCATGAAAAATCTATTTTTAAAAGCTAGATTGGGCCAGCATACTTACCCTCAACGATTCATATGGAACGTCTGAGGATATAGGGGATGCTGAAATTTTCATGTGTAGTCCACGCTACATACAATGGATTTATAAAAACTGGAGCAGACATAATTTGGGGCAGTTGCCCATAGTAACCACTCACCTTATCTCTTCAGTTTAGCTTTGAAAATGAAAGATAGAAGACGATTGGTTGCCACGCACAGCTACTCCAGATTTTGTCTGCTCCAGTTTTGATAAATTCCCCCCAAGTGTGTCCATTGATCTTGCAGCCGGCTGCAACTTCCCATTTGCTATAGCAAACATAGAAAGGTGCTCGCTCATTACCACCTCCATTAAGAAAACATCTTGGGGGTGATTTATCAAAGCAGACAGTTTTAGCCTCTTAGATCATTTTTTTTTATGTGCACATCTGTCTTTTAACCTGAGCTTGAACTACTTTTCCAATTGTACGTGTTTTGCGCCTGTCGTCATCTGCACTTGTTCTGAGGCTGGCTGTCTGAGGCTCACCACCTAACAAAATAATCGCAACTTAAGAAGTTCCCATGACCACTTCTTCAAGAAGCGACAGTTAAGCTTTTTGCCTGGAGTTACGAGTCTTCTTTCCTAGAGTCTATTTTACCTCATTTATGAATAACATTACACTAGCAACATAAATCTGGCGCAAAGTGCGTCAAATATATTCTGTGAGTTCAAAAACTCGCATTTGCTATGATAAATTCCTCCCCTTGTATTCTTTTGAATTAACATAAGGCATTCTATGATTTGATGAGTACATCAGGACATCATCTCCTCCATTCCACCTTGACCAATCAGAAAATGCCTTGTAATGATTCAAAAGAATACAAGGAGAGGAATTTATCAAAACTGGAGCAGACAGAATCTGGAGCAGCTGTGCATGGTAACCGATCAGCTTCTCTCTCATTTTCAAATGTCAACTGAAGAAAATGGAGAGATGCTGATTGGTAGCCTTGGCAACTGCTCCAGATTTTGTCTGCTCCAGTTTAGAGAAATTCCCCTCAATGTTTTCTGAATGGAGGTGCCAAACAACTCTCTAGCCTTACTGTACAAGACGGGAAGTGGCTGCAGCAACACCCAGAAGGACAAAAGACACACTGCATGCAACATGGACTACAAATTAACATTTGCCCATTATCTACATTCCTCTAGACATGATGCTTTAATTGTATTTAAGAGGAATCTCATCATGGCCCACATCTAAATTTGAAGTAAAACATTCAAAGAGCAATACGCTCTTATAGTTCAATTGCTGAACAGATATACACTGCTTGGCCAAAAAAAAGTCACACACTCCAATATTGCATTGGACAGCAATTAAGCTTGGATTACGGCACATAGTCGCTGTGGCATCATTGCAATAAGCTTATTCAATGTCACCACATTTATTTTGGTCCAGAGTAGCATTCATTTTTCATCAAGATCTTGTAGTGATGATAGGAGAGTCGGACCACTGCGTAAATTGTTCTCCAGCACATCCCAAAGATTCTCAATGCGGTTAAGGTCTTGACTCTGGTGGTGGCCAATCCATGTGTGAAAATGACGTCTCATACTCCCTGAACCACTCTTTCACAATCTGAGCCCAATGAATCCTAGCATTGTCATCTTGGAATATGCCCAATGTGCCATCAGGGAAGGAAAAACCTGGTCATTCAGTATATTCAGGTAGGCAGCTGACCATTTTTCGGGGGCATAACTTTGCTGAACTTTTATTAGCAAAATCCAGGTGGCGACCTTTTTTTTTTTTTTTTTTTTCCACCAGGCAGTGTATGTCTAGAACGCTGTAGGAGTAATCTGCACAAAGTCAGATTTCTGCATGCAAAAACTATTTATTTATTTTTAGATACAGTTGTCTGTTCCTTCCTGTCCTAATAACCCAAGTTGCCCTTATTGTCTTAGGGTTACAGAAAAAAATGAAGAAAAACCTGTGCTATGCAGCCAGAGACACCATTAAAACCTGACAGAAGTTTTAACCCATTCTACCAAGAACTAGACTTTAATGTCTGTACCATAGGATCCACGTCCAGCCATTTTGTGAAATTGCTGCCATGTAAGGGGGCCCTGCACATGCTGGATATTCTCCCACGTCCGTCCTGTCCTTTTCTTTTGGATAGCATCCTGTAGAACAGGTTGAAGTGATAGCAGCGTGCGTACTACATCCTGAGAAGGAAGCATGCTCACATCAAGCACTGGGGAAAAAGGACAGAAAACAATATATCAGCATAAGGTTTTTTTCTTACCTTGAACAATATAATACATTAATGGATAATTCCTTCAAATAACAAGCTCAGCCATGAACATACATGGTGGGGCACATCTTTTTAAGTTAAAAAAACAAACTCTTTTTATATGCAAATTACAGTTCAATCATTAGAAGGTAAACATACAAGTATCTATAGATTCCACCTGTACAGCTCTTTAGATAAGAGTTTCTCAACTCAGTGATGTTTTCAGCTTTTCCTTCAGTGATGGGTAAATGTGGAAATTATTTAATCAGTGACATAGATTTATAATCATCTATCCAAAAATAGGATTTGTTCTTAATGTAAAGTCCTTTTCTTTGAGTCCATTGAGGGACACAGCTCTGAAGAATTCTGAGACGTAGGGTTATGCTGCTGCCTCTAGGACAAATTGACACTAGGCAAAACAAATTAAAAGCCTGCTACTTAAGGACATACCCCCTCCATACCTCACACACCTGCCAGTTTTGCCTAGTGTCCTCAGGCAAATGGAGGTCTCCTCTTCTGCTTATAGCAAGCAGTACAAAAGGAAATGAGGGGAGGGAGTGGTGTCTCTCAATGGACTCCAAGGAAAGGATTTTTTATTTTCTTTATCATCCATTGAGGGAAAATGTTCTGAAGAACTTCACTAAAGCTCAACTAAAATGAAAGTACAACCGCTGTAGAGCCGCCCAATCGCTTGTATGCGGTGCAACTCAGTGCATCTGCCCCCGCGGGTCCCAAGCTCCGCTGGGACCGGCATGGCGGCTCTGTGCAGGCAGATCAGAAAGAGATTCCCTGATGTCTCCATTAAGAGGACCAGTCACTGTAATTTGATACCACATAGGGGGCTTCTCTATGAGAATAAAATGAAAGTTAACAAATTTTTTTACAGTCCCGTCCCCACATACAGACGCAAACATGCGCCAGGCGCTCCTACGTGCGGAAACGACAATTGCACCCAATGTGCTGCACTTGTTACATGTCACCCCGAGCAATAACTTTAGGACCATTAATCACTGATTACACTGAACTGATGAGCAGTAAAAGCTTTTAAAGTGTTGCCTATGGCCAATTTTGGGTATGCTAGTTTTCTGCAATTTCACGGGCACACGTAATTGTAAAGCTTGACATGTTTGGTGTCTATTTATCCGATGTGACTCCGTCTAAGATTTCACCCAAAAAAATTGGGTGTTATTAAGTGTTTTATAACATAACGTAGGGAAAACAGGTTTTTTTTCAAAATTGTTGGTCCTTTTTTCGTTATATAGTAAAAAAAATAAAAAATAAACCCCAGTGGTGATTAAACTTGATTCCGCAACATCTATACCTTATTCTGAGGAAGGAGCACTTTTGCTTGAGGCTGGGTTCACACAAAGGCGACACCTCACCGCGCAGCAATCGTGCACGATTCTGCGCGGATTGCCACATGGTCAGGAGTCGCCAAGGTGTGAACCGATCGTGCTGTGGGTGCCATTATTTTCTAATGGCACCCCAGTCTCGCCGGGCGGATCGCTGCCTTGCTGCCACACATGAACTAAAACATGTATCGTGAAAAGGTACTTGTACCTTTCTTCTGCAATTGCCACGCGGATGTCACCTCATTGAAATCAATGGGGCAATCGCTGCCTGCATTGTGCAGGACCGAGCCTCAAAGGGTATGCAACAGAAGACCCAAATACACCAAGCGATGTGATGAAACTAAGGACGACTTCTCAATGTTCAGAATCAACCGAAAGTCCTCTAGTGTCCGCAGCACCATCTAGACATTAAGCCCCAAAGTAGGAAGAGACTTTTCTCGAAGTAGAAGGTAATTTAAGTATCTCAATCAAAATACCATTGAGACCAAAAAAAAAAGAAAAAAAACAGAACCGGAGCAAGAACTTTTGTAAAAACCCTTGGAGTCCAAGCCAACCCGAAGGGAAGAGCCACAAACTGATAATGAAGGTCACCTACAGGAATGTGTAGATGCACATCCTTTATGTCTATGGAAACAAAACAATCTCCTCATCTAAGAGTTAACCAAGTAAATGGATTTCATCTGGTATTTGTGAATATGTACAAACACATTGAGGGCAATTTATCAAAACTGGAGCAGACAAAATCTGGAGCAGTTGCTCATGGCAACCAATCAGCATCTCTCTTCAGTTTGCTCAGGTAAGATTTGAAAATGAGACAGAAGCTGATCGCTTGCAGTGCAAATCCGCTCCAGATTTTGTCTGCTCCAGTTTGGATAAATTCCCCTCTGAGTGCTTTCAATACAGAATCGGACAAAATCTTGTGCTGGGTTTGGAAACTGTAAAAAGGTTTGAGTTCTACCAGAGGAACAGGTATAACACCTGGATACAACATGAAGTGTGCAAAAAGGGTCCGTCTGATGCTGCCAATACATGGGAAGCCAAAACGCAAATAACCAAGGAGAAAGATGAAAATATATTCTGAAATTTGAGCTTTTCACATCTTCGCAAATTCCATCAGGCGTCCCGCAACCAGATATAGAAAAGGCGGGAGCAGAATTTTCAATTGCCAAGGACGTCTAGAAGGTTCAAAGCTTTGGAAGTTGAAGATGTCTTTTAAAACTGGGAACTAAAGAAACGTACAAAACATGGAAAGGAAAGAGCAGGCTTATGCCGCCGATCGCTATTTCTACGCATCTGAGGTAAGCGTTTAATTTTACCTCCCAGAGCTTTTTAATAAGCTAATCCGAGGTAGCTTCAAAAAGACAACCTCTCACTTAGGGTTAAGACAGAAATCCCTTTTTGCAATGGGGTTCTGCCAAGCAGCACTTATACCAGATAGCTCTGCATATCTGAATGGAAGAGACAGACACATGAGACAACAGATGACAAGCATCAAGAAATGCATCACACATGAAATGAGAAGCATCAATAAAATGTGGATCAACTCCAGCAGTCAACTGTTCTGCACCTTAAGAGTAGGGAAGGCTGGGAAATAAGGACCAAAGTCAATAATGGTTGGAAAGCTGAACAAGTTTTTTCTTTTTAAAACAAATTCATCCCAGGAAAGGACACAGTGTCTCAAAGCGTCTAGGAACCAGAAATTGCTTATCTGGAATTTCCCAATCCTAATATAAAAACCTATCAAAAAAGGATGAAGAGGAAAAAACCTTGCAGACATGCTAAGGTTTATGTGAACAGCAGATTCCTCTCATTTTAAAGAGGAACACACAGCCTCAATCAAGAAGGCAACCATTGCTTTATGCTGCAGAGTGAATCTGTCACAGCCCAGCTACTGCAGCGATGATATGGCACAGTGTTTATGACAAGCATACTTTAGGTGTATTGTATTCATGAGCTGAATCTATGTGTTATGTTCCTTAATCAAGGAAGGATAGAGTGCGACACCTTGATGTGTCACCAATGTCTGGCCGCTGTATAACTTTCACCAGCGCTGCCACTCCTTACTGAGTGAAAACTACCCAATCAGTAACCAGGGGGGGAAAATCAGTAATCGGGGGAAAAGGTGGAGTTTTCTCCTAGTACGCCTGCGCAGAAAAAAAAAGGAGGAGAGCTCCTCATGTGGCCAACTTGTAAAATATGTAAAGTATAAGATGTGCCGGTCCCCATAACTACACCTCAGAGCCCTTGTATTATAACAATAGTAAGACTGTAGGAAAGGGTGACAAAAAAAATCACTTTCACACTGTACTGTTAATGACAGTCTGTTCTGACAATTCTACCTCAGACAGAGTCGGACACAATAATAATCATTGCCCTAACAGTTGTGAGGTACCGCAACCACCTGCTGCAGACAGCAGAATATTTGAAGAATGGCTGTGTAATAGTAAAAAAAAAAAAACAGGATCTCTCTGTTCTCCCCAATAAGAAATATTAAATTGAGGGCAAATAAAATGCAAAAAAAAGGAAACAAAGTCAAAAATGCTCTGTCCATGCACGCTACAGTGCTCTGAGGAAACCAGAAAAATGCTCTGTCCATGCACGCTACAGTGCTCTGAGGAAACCAGAAAAATGCTCTGTCCATGCACGCTACAGTGCTCTGAGGAAAGTAAACTGAAAAGGAGGGAAAACAGCCAACCTTGTAAACATGAGGTAAATACATTGTTTTAATCACAGCTCCATGGCGCTGTTCACAACATAACCGGAATCCCTTGATCAGGGGTGCCCATTAGGTAGATTGTGATCTACCAGTAGCTCTCAAAGTTGATGCTAGTAGATCACGAAGGGTGTGAATGGTGACCCCTTTATTCCATTTTGGTATATTTATTTAGCTGTGCACACATGATTACCTATTAGCCTGAGTCTGCTGAGCCAAGCTCCCTGACACCTTTCTGGTGGATACTGGTGGTTGAAGTGCTATGTATTACATTAAAGAATATTAGTTTACACAGCCTGTTGCAAAATACAGCAAGGTGAGCCAGGAGAGAGAGCGAGGAGAGACAGACAGGAGAAAAAAGAGGAATGACCGCCAGGAGAGAGAGCAAGGAGAGACAGCCAGGAGGATGAGCAAGGTAAGAGAGAGAGAGACAGCCAGGAGAGAGAGAGCGAAGGAGTTTTTTTTTCCGTTGGTAGATCTCATGTAGCTCATCATTTGAAAAGTAGATCTTAACACAAAAATTGTGGGCACCCCTGCCCTAGATAATACTGGCCTGACCATTAAATGATGAAAACAGGACCAAAAGGACCACTGCAGGACAAAGCATAAGTATTAAGACCAGAAACAACCTGCTTCAGGACAACTAGGGGAACTTCCAGGATTTAACTTATGCAGAATGAATCTCTCAGTTTTGTCGGCTAGGTCGAGAGACTCCCAGTATTTAATAATATCTGGTATGAATCAACTAGCAGCTTGTGATAGTAGAATCTTCAACCAAGAAACAAAATAGGACTAAAATAATAAAGCAGAAGAGATGGGGACATCCATTCTTCTGAGGACACTAAGCGGAAAAACTGGCAGGTGTGAGGTGGAAGGGATATGTCCTTAAAGTAACAGGCTTTTCATTTGTTTGCCTAGTGTCCATTTCTCCTGGGGGCAGCAGCATAACCCTACGTCTCAGAATTCTTCAGAGGCGTGTCCCTCAATGGACGATAGAGAAATTAGAATTCCTGAACATATAACCTGATGGGATGTCTGGATGACTGGAGTTGAACACCACTGGTATTGTTCATTAAACAACTTTGGTTTGTTTTTGCAGCTAGTAAGCTAACAAATAAGCTGACCTCTTAAACCAAAAATGATGCTGACTGTACTCGCCCCTACTTTCAGAACTCCTTACGTGCATACCTATTCCAGGTCAGTGTCTTAGAAAGTACTGAAACCACTGGAATAGCATGCTAGGCATGCAACTGGCAGAAAGATTAGGAACCGCAACTTCCACCTTTTCTCAATTCAGGTTCCCTTTAAAATTGCAGGCTATGGGGCAGTCATCCCCATGTTCACTTTACTATCTAGTGAGTCATTGACCTGTAAGAATGGTAATGAAAAGACTTTACCAACTATGTGCTTGTTCCAGCTCACTGACTTAGGTATAAAAAAAAAACAGGATCGGGACAACAGGTCCAGAGCCTGCGCCTTTAAAGTTAAACTACAGGCAGAAATAAATGACAAAAATGAATACAGCTCTGTATTCATTAAAACATCACTAAATGTATTTGTTCTTTAAAGCAGCAAGTACCTGAATTTGCCTGCTATCAGCTCCTAGCAGGCCCTGTACAGCTAAGCACAGACTGGGAGAAGGAAAAGCAGCACAAGGAGTTCATCAGCTGAGATACAGTGCTAAGGAACATGCTAATAAGGGAGAGAACAGAGTGACAGAGAAATGACTCATTGGTGTGCTGCTTCTCCTTTCACTGTCTAGCCATGTGCTGGAGAGCGACAAGACCTGTAAGGTGTTATCTGCCAAAGTTAACCAGGTCCTCTTTCCTGTTAGACAGGGCTGAGCTATACGGTAGAAATAAGTAAATCTCATTACTTGATAGCATGAATTCACATTTTTTGGCAGGTAAAACAGCTCCCTTATATACATTTTATCTGTGTATTTAGCCTTTTTGCCTGGAGTTCAGCTTTAGGTCAAAATCACTGAAACCACTGAATAAGCTGCATGACAGCCAGACAACTAGCATTTTTAGAAGTCAGCAATGACAGTCACCTTATCTCTCATAGGTGAGCAAGCATCATCTCACAGTACTGACAAGCAACCTATAAATATTGTCACCTCTGCCAATGTAGCAAGTTTAAAGCTGGGCATACACTGTTCTATTTTTTTCATTCAGGGCTTGTTCACACATCCCCCCGCGCCCGCAGTGCGATCAGACGCGTGGCAAAACTTTGCCAGCTTTGCGTTCCACTGCAAATGCAAAAAATAGAGCAAGCCCTATTTTCTGCGTTTGCAGTGGAATGGAACGCTGGCAAAGTCTTACCACGCGTTCCGATCGCGATGCGGGGGGGCGTGGAAGTGGTGCCATTGAATTTAATGCACCTCCACACCCCCTCCCGCCCAAGAACGAGAAGTTTATCAGCGATCGCGGTGCGTTCCAGCAGCTATCGCTCTGGAACATACACGCTTTTGGTGTGAACAAGGCCTCAACCTGCGGGCTTCAACAACAAAAAAATAGAACAGAATTCAACATCAACGCCGCAAACGCGTTGAGAAACTCCTGCTGTTTCTTTTGTATGCCGATAGTGGCCGCCGGCCACTGTCAAAAGAGCCTGAACAGAGACAGCAGCTCATTGGATGTCAGCTCTGTTCGTTCAAAGATTTTGCGACTGGCTCCTTCGATCACATGATCGAGGCATGCCAGCCAAAAGGATGAAGACAGCGGCAACTACTGTGCAAATTTCAGCCGATTCCTGAAGAAGCAGACAAAATTTGCCTAATGTATGGCCAGCTTTTATCAATCCTCTGGTAAAGAGGGCGACTGCAGGTGGATGTTGCCAATGCTGCTTGTTTTGGAGGAAAACAATTGGGATTGAGAAAGGGTTTCCAGATATGGCTTTCCCCGAGTTAAGGAAATCAAATCCTGATAGATGCAATATTCAGAGACATGCAGGAACACTTTACAGGTTGTTTTACAGTACAATTCCAGCAAACATACAGGAAATGCCAAATCCAGCATCAAACAAGCAAAAGTACAGGAAACTGTAGCGCTAGAAATGTCAAAACAATTATCAGATAGGAATAGTTTGGAAAAATGGTAGCAGAGCAAACTGATTCGGAGACAAAATATGCAGTTACTTCCTAGCTACAGTTTAGGCATCGTCATCTTAACGCAAAGCAACAGGTACCCTTTTAATGGCAGTACCACCAACTACTATTGGTGCTGTTGTGGGAGCAAAGAAAAAAACTCACTATTTCCAGGTATGAAGGAGCATGTTACTCCCGATCCTCCCTCCCATGTGACAGCACCCAGGTGACTGCCAGCTCAGGCACCCTGTGCTGTCACATAGGGGTAGTGATAGGGTCCTCAGCCCTTTGTAAGTTCAAAGAGACAACCTGCATCTTAAAGAAGAATAACTCTCTCTCACTTATGTTGACCAAATGAAGCAGTGGGGGAGGAAAGACTGGTGTCGACATTAATGTAAACCTATTACTTTGCCCTGTATAGGAAAAGCACATGCTTACTTTAAACCAGTTACAGACCCGTTTCACAAAACTACTATGGTTAAGCACATTTCTGTTATATTCTCATAAAAAAATACAACTCTCACCATTGCTGTGTGGCCAAAGGTGGAAGGTAGCACTTCTAACCAAAGTTTCGTCAACCCGTCCCCCAGTTGGATTGTCCACGTATTGTCTTCCCTGTTCCAATGCATTTAAACACTCTGGCCAGGCATCAGAGCTCTCTACTCTTACTTTCTCATAGTTGCAGGAGGTTCCATCAAGATATTCTCCTTTGTTGTATAATAGGTCCCATGTACCTCCATTGTTTGCGAAAGGTTTAGTGCACTGACTTTGGAGAAGCATAAGCAGGGCAGATGGAGGTGGTTCCTGGCTCCTCCTTGCAGCTTCCTTCATGTTAAACCTTCGTTCCACTGCCTGTCCAATATAAGATGATTTGCCAAAAATGTCCATCTCATCCTCTATAAAGAGCCCAGAGTGGTAGCCAAGTCGACGGTTGACAATGGCGCTAAATCCACAGGTGCAGCGATACTGGTCTTCATTCGAGGAGTCTGGAATGTAGGTACCTACATCAGATCCTTTGATGTTAAGATTACAGGCACATATGCAACAGCTATCAAAATTTCTATCCTTGAAGATGTTTAGAACAGAGTCAGACAGAAGTAAAGTAACATACAGGCTGTGAGCCTCAGGAGCTGGATGACTACTGGCTGGGTCAACAGAACTCAAGGGCCTGGTGGTGGATGGGGTGGAAGCTGGAGAACAGAGGTCTGTGCCGTCATACTTTACAGAGCCTTGTCCACTGGCTCCTCCAGCTCCCTTTGGAGTTCTAGGAGTTCTTGGTGTACGGGGAGTAGGAACAGAAAAACGTGGAGTGGCTGGAGAAGGCAAGACGCCACCAGTTCCCCCATTGCTGGCAGGAGCCGCACTGCAAGGAGCAATTGGAGTGTTGGTTTGTGGAGTGTTTAGCTGCAGGTAGTCAGGATCCGTCAGACTGCCCTCGCTTGGCACATTCCTATGAGAGAAAAAAAATAGTGAAAGTGGGTACAAGATGATCATACAAGGCAAAAATAGTTATGTAGAAAAATAAGAGGGGCATGTAGGGGAGATAAAAATGAGAATGCAAATTCAACTAGTAGAATAATAAAAATTAAAACAAATTCAACAAGTAAAATAGCACAAAAGGTCTACAGTACTTACATGTAGCCATCTCTGTTGAAAGGAGCAGCTGGCGGTAAAGGAAGGTGTTGTACCTTTGGGGGAACAGCCCAGGAAGGACGATATATGCAAGCATCTGGGATTTTCAAGGAAAGCAGGCACTGGCTGGGTAAAGATTTTAAAGGCGCAAACATAGAGGAGCCCAAAAAAGCTTGATAAGAAGGAACTTTGTACACAAAGGAATAGTCCTACAGTTCAAAAACAAAACAAAAGACATCTTTGAGAAACCAAACCAACACAACTGTCCTATGTATCTATATACAGACAGAAAAATGAATGTAAAAAAAGACAAACAATATTCCACTGTCTGGGCTAAAAAGTCACATGCCTTAATTTCTTCTGGCTTTGGACTGCATAGGCCTTCCTCGACTTCCACCTTGAACTCTATGTGTTGCATAGAGACAAAACTGACCATAGGGCTTTCCATCATGCCAAGAGCTGTTGCAGTGTCTGAACCTACACCGTCCTTGTATACCATGATGGGGGAGAATGCCGGGTGTTGCTCCAGAGATGGTGGAGTAGGAAACATTCTCTGCAGGTCAGACGCTGCTGCAAGATACAGAACCAATACTGCTATTAATTATGGTTTCAAGCAGGAAATTAAACATGCACGACTGAAAGCTTGCATGCACTGTACGTCTGCCTCTTAACATATAAAAATAAGAAATTGTAACTTTAACAAAATGAATGTAAACAAGTAAATGAAAAGAACTAAGAAAAACCTTATTGGCACAGTAACATAGGCAGCTGGATGCCATTTTTGCAGCAAAGGATTTGGCATTTATTTTCTTTTTTTAAAAGTGTATGTATGGCAACATTTTTGTTTTCTTTTTAGTTTTGAGTAAAGTGCATGAGGTTTAGAACCCCTGTCAAGTTATTATTGCTGTCTGTGCCCCCACTGGGGAGGTTCAACCTCTCTGTTTGTCCTGCGGCCTACTGTCACTCAAAAAGAAAGTGATGGAAATTCCAAAATTTACAACTGTCCATAGAACAGGAATTAGAGGGAAATCTTCCACCGGGAACACTCTGTTCTGGGGATAACTGTCTGAGAGGGAATTCCCCTCCCTTTGTAGAAATGTACCCTCATTTCCCCATTTGGTCTTTTTGGAAAAAAAGGTTGTTGGTTTTTTTAAACTGAGTATTCCTCTGGGAATCAAGGGGGGTGGGGAGGTTACCATAAATAACCCTGTCTGTGCTGTGTGGCAGATCTCATCAGTTGTAAAGCTTTGATCACTGTCCGTCCTAACAAAGGGTTAAAGATCTAGAGGCATTATAATGTTAATAAAGCTCAGTGCATCCCTAATCTTTCTATGGGGACACCCAGAGTTTCCTTTGCAATTGTACAGAGACACTTGCAGTGAGCTCAGATGCCTGTCTACAGAGACATGAAAAAGGTTTGAAATATTTCTAAAATGATTTTTTGGTATGTTACGTGAATAGGAACACAAACATAGTGAGGCTTTCTCAAATGTAACTGCAAAGGCAGGTAAGGTGCAGAGACTCTGCACATTTGAGAAGAAAACACTGGGCACAGGAATATTACCTCATTAACAAAGTTCTCTAATAACCATGTGATACACAGAGTTATCTTGGACCTCCTATTGCAACAAGGCCTGGTTCCGATTGAAGACTATTAAGCAACATTTAAAAGACCTAGATAGACCATTGACAAGGACTAAATAACGTTGGGGTTAGAAAACAGATAAGGAGATAATGCTTTACATATCCTGCATCCCCTTAAAGGGTTGGTTCACCTTTAATGTTGTGGGTTTTTCCCCAAAAAACATTATTACATCTTACAATGCATATTAAAATGCTGCCTTTTTTTTATTATTATGCTTGCTTTTATTAATGCTGCTCCTGTGAGCTCCTCCTCTCCATCCTGACTACATGGCATGACTGACTGACCATTGAATAAGTGGCCGCAGGTCCTCATGAACGAGCACTTGGCTAGAACTCGGCTTGCTATCTGCACATGTGCAGTCCGCTTCCACTCATGGCAATAGCCGAGTTCAGCATTCTACTAGCAACCGCGGAAGAGGACTGTGCATGCATGGTTAGTCAAGCCGAGTTCTCATTCACGAGGAGCTGGGGCCACGCATCTAAGTGCCATTCCCTCCTGCAATGTAGCTGGGACGAAGAGGTAAGCCTCCACGGACAACAGCAATAAAAAGTAGCACAGTTTTTTAAAATGAAAGTCAGAATGTTAATATACAATGTAAGTTGTAAAATTAATGGATTTTTGAAAAGAAAAAAACCCCCCCATTAAAAAGGAGAACTATGAGGTGAGTGCTTTTCACTCACCTCATAGTTCTAGCCGACCTGTGACAATGAGACTGTTACAGGTCGGCTCAGTAGATCTGGAGGTGAGCGTACACATAACAGCGTTCGCTCACCTCTCGATCCTGTCACGGCTCTGTGCCGTGACAGGGGGAGGGCTGGATTCCCCCCTCCGTCGCTCCGATCCGCCAGCGCTGACTGGCGGAACGAACAGGGAGGGTGCGGGTACAGCTGGTTCTGCCTCTGCGGCGTCTCAGCTACAGCTCGCGGTATACTGAGCTTAGGGTGACGGGAGGACGCTAGTTTGTGTCATCCCGTTACCCTAAGGAGAACTATGAGGAAAAGCCTTAACCCATAGTTCTCCTTTAAAAAGGTAAACTAACCATTTAAATGAGCAACATACTCTTCACCTGTAAAGTAAAATTGAGATTTACTACTAATAATTGAATCCAGTCCCATTAAGAAGCGAGATACACTGTGACCAATACAATATACAGAGAAGTGAAATCTGTGAAACACTCACTTGGTAGATATGGAACAGCTGTTCTTCCCTCATCCCTTCGATCTCTTCGATCTTCTGCCCCTCCTATTGGCACCTTCACTGCTCGGGTCCCCGGTGAACCAGCCTTCAAGATCATTTACAGAAAGGTATGGGATTACACATCAAAGCCTTGTACACATAAGCATTACTCTATTCTTCCCTTTTATTAGCGTTTTTTTAGCCTGTGTTACTGCTCCACCAAACAGGATGAGAATGTTTAAGTGTATCAATACACAAAACTTTTTTAGTTTTGGATAGAATGGGGAAAGGTTAGAATTCCCTCTCAGGTTTTACTGCTATCTGGGACTTTGTTACAGAAATTTTCACTCTCTGTTGATAAAAAATTGACAGGGGTTGCTGCAGTGTCCCTCTCATTGCTCTGCTGGTTTTAGCCCTGGACCCCGGTCGATGGGGGCACCTGTCTGAGCGTCAACCAGATCCCCACATGGGTCTGCTCATCTATTACAGTGGGACTGTCCCCTGAGGTTACTGTCGGTACCTGAGGCCAAGTCAGGTGCTTGCCTTTACACTGTCTCCTGCCAGTTAATGTTTGTTTTGTATTGAACTGACATAACCCCTTCACGACAGCTCTTTTTCAGTTTCTGTTCCTTAATGACTGAAGCACTTTTTACATGTGATTCTTCTATGGCAGTAATATACTTTCTTACCTCCGCACCACTGGTGGGAGACACTGTCTATCGCCTATCTCATTTCCTTGATCTTCCCATCACCTTCCAATCCCTTTTGGGCAATTGCCTCTGTTAATCTTCCCCGGTGTTTCAGCATTTTTCCTGGCTTAATTACCCTTTCATGGCCTTCTGGGCGTTTCCCCTGTCATCCACCTCATTTTAGGGGCTTGTCTAATTTCACCCTTTCTTAGCCCTTCTTCCTTATTTCCCTCCTCCTCCACAAGATTCATTCCTTGGAAACCCGCCATAAACATTCCGCATCTAAATAACTGGAAGTGGAACTGGTGGCACTTTTATGAGTTTGAGAATAAGTGTAGTCATTCCTTCGAGCCACACTACCATGGCTCTAACTGACACCTACAGAGCTATCAACAAAGACAAACAATCTTCAGACTCAGTTAACGGAAGGGCAGCATCAGGGCAGACAAACAGCTATCAGTGGATGAGTCGGCGCTCCCTGGCTTAAATGAAGAAAAACAGGTGGTTAGCATCCCTCTAACTGCCGAAGACTTCCAGGCCGCTCTTGCTTCCAGGTCTGGTGGCAAGTCCCCTGGTCCTGATGGCTTCTTTCTACAAAACACTACTCTCTGAATTTTCATCTAATTTTATAGAGGCTTTTAATATTATTTCTGCAGGCAACACCTTAGCACCTGATATGGTGGAAGCCACTAGATAGGTTATCCCCAAAGATGCCTCCCCCCACCTTTTTCTCTTCCCTTTAATCCTCCTTTGCAGAGAGGAGACCTATCAGGTTTCTGAAGTTCCCTCCCTCCACTTCCAATTCCCCGGTTTATTTTATCCTGTTTGTGGTATATTTAAAATTGCTACACGGTATTAATTGGCAAGGGTCTGTGATCTGCTACACTAACCCTACAATATTGTGTAACTTGATGTACGTAATTTTTTTAATTTATTTTTCAGTTTGTTACTCTATGTTCTCTGTATCACAATCAGAGTGTATTTTCCCACATTGTATAACCTTTGTACTCTTGACTAATGGAGCTTGTTAAATTAAAACAAAATATATAAATATCTGACAGGAATTCTGATCCTTTCCCACTCTAAAGAAAAAAGATTTGGTTATAGATACACATTAAACTTATACAGATTCTGTACTTCATTAGGATTTGGCAAGAAAAACTTACTAGGTCCTCATCTTCAGAATTATCAAAAATGTTGTCCAGATCATTCAGGGAGGGAGCCAAGTCAGTGACCTGCGTTAGGCTAGCTGCTACCCCGCGGTCCTGCCGTGGGTCTGCAATTCAATGAATTAAAGTAAAAACAGATATTAAATATGTACTTATTTCCAGCTATCACCCATTTAAGTAAACACACAAAAAGCTATAATTATGGTGATTTAATCTGAAAAGTGTCTACTCTAATCCCGAATGATATAAAAATCTGTTAACAGAAAAGTACTGCACTGCCTGCAAGCTTTTGTGACAAAAAAGTAGCTGTGCTCCAAGATGTAAAATAACAAGACAAACACATTGCTTGTATTAACAGTTAACTATTACACTGAAAACTGCAGCCAATACACTACAAGTACAATAACTTTTAAACCTCTTTGCATTCTAAAATGATCTTCACACTTTATTTTAGCACATATAGGGACTTTATTTTTTTAAATACCCTGTATATATACACAGTATATTGATGTCCACCTAATCCTGAACATTTGCTCAGTTAAAAGCAGAAAGTGGCCAGCAAAAAGGTATGACACATCAGTGGCCACTGTACACAGAATTTATTGTTTTCATTTTGACATACATTTTAAAACATTTTGGACTGAACAATATGGTGTGGTGTTAATAATCATCTTTTATCGTTGCTCCTCTTATGCATTAGGTTTCATTTTTTTAAACACTTTTGGGGGGAATTCTTAAAAACTGGGGCAGACAAAATCTAAAGCAGTTGCCCATGCCAACCAATCAGCATCTCTTTTCAGTTTGTTCATTTACACTATAAAAATGAAAGACATGGGCAACTGCTCCAGAGTCTGTTTATCAATTTATCAATTATGTCCAAGACTGCACTCCAGATCTGGAAGACCGTGTGTGAGGTCAGGCAGTTGACAAGGCAGCAAGTGTCAGACGTTGGATGATCTCTGATCTGAAACACATGCACCTTCCTTTCTGTGTGTTGACTGAATACCTGATTACTTGATTTCTACTTAGGATGTAATATTCATGGTCATCAAACCTACCCTAACAAGTAAAAAACCTCTAACTATAACATTATTTAAAAGCAACACGTCAAGGAGCCCAGTTGTCTTTGGAGTACCAACCTGTCTTAGATGTGGGACTAAAAATGGACATGGCATCTTTCCCATCAGGCACTGGTACAGAGTGGTCTTCTGGCGATGCATCCTTGTCAAACTCCTCCTCCTCCCCCTAAAAGGATACAGACTTATTTCAGTAAAATGGACTTTATAAGGAAAAAAGACTTGCTTTCAAGGCAATATCAGAAAGGAAGTTTTAGACACAGTTGATTGGAGCAACATTTGCTAAAAGGCGGGGACCGGGGACATTTTTAGGAAAAATCCCATACTCACTGGAAAGCTGAGAGGACTTACTGCTTTAAAATAGATGCAAACTGATACTAGAACTTGAAATGCAACTCCATTTTATTTTATAATATAGCACAGTAATCTTTTCCGACAAGAGGTAAGACTTTTTGCTAAATCTGATACAACCCCAACATCTTCTGGAGAATCTTTTCAGTCTAGCTGACACTGGAACAAACAGGAAAATACCTTATGCTTCCTAGAAGGGTCCCGTTCTGCTCCCATCTTGCATTTCTTGCTTGTGGTAGTGAAACTGTACTTTATATCTCCATCTTCAAATGTATAAGGATCAGAGGAGTCACCAAAACCTTCACAAGGATGAAGAGGAAGCTGTTCCCCATAGTTATTCTCTGCTACAACCTGTCGCTTCTCATCCAAGACTTTGAAGCGTCTGTTGGGCTGAGACAGGAGCCTAAAAGGATAACATTTGTGGAAATTATTCCAGCCTTCTGACTGTTTATTACTGCTCCTCTGCAAAGCAGTCATCTAATTCTGTATATTAGGGAAATATATTGTTCTATGCTAGCTCAGTAATCCCCTCCAAATATCTCCTCACCTTTTAAGTGCAGTACTCTCAGATCCCACCTCCGACTTGGTCTCGTACCATTCTCCCTGGATTTCTGGTGGACGAAAGTCTTGGCTGTCTACATTTGGAATCCTGTATCCCTGCCATTTGTTCTCTGCTTGACGGTTCTGAGGGAGCCCAGCACAATACAAACTTGTTTCACTCATTTCTGCCATCATTGGCAAGCCAAGGCCAGTGGCCATTATCGTCCTGTCATCAAGTGGCTGCATTTCCAAACCATTAGGATAAAGATTTGAGACCGCCACGTCTTGATCAGGCACTTCAACCTCATGTTGTGGTGGCTGCGGACTTAGTGTCGGGGGCATGGGGGAAGCAGGTGAATGTGGGGAATCTGTAGGATGTTCTGGTAACAGCTGTTCGATTTCCCCAGCAGGGGGGCCAGTCGAGAACTGCCTATTTGTGGTTGGTGGCCCACTTGCAGGCTCTGCTACTTGGCGTTGCTGCACAGTTTGTTCCTGCGTCAAACACTCATTTTGCATGGGAGATGGGCGGTGGTGAAAAGGAGTAGTGGCTTTTTTCTGCAGTTTCTCTGCCTTCTCCTGGCGATCATTAGGTTTGTGCTTGGAAGATGCAGAAGGTTGAAGGGAAGAGTTAGTAGAGGAGGGAGTACCTCCCACACATGCCTGGGAGACCGAAGGAGGACGACTTGCACTTTGTGCACCACGCTGCTTGGCCAGCTTGTGCCTGCAGGAAGAAAAGTCAAAGCTCTTCAGTTAGCAGAAAACAGAAGTGACTTTTGGAATCTAAACAGAAAGCTTCTGGCATACCCTATACAAATAAACAGTGGGAGGCCAAGTGCCAAGCAATTACTTGCTGTATACGGGTGAGCACAAGCAAACCACTTACCATTTTATTTACCTGTGCGCCTTCACCAGACTCTTAACTGAATTTAAGCTGACCATACACCGTGCGCATTTCAGGCAGATCTTGATGAACCAACCTAAATTAGCACAGTGAGGCACCCTTTCGACCGGCATCCTTCAAATCATAAAACTGCCAGATGGAAAATTTTCAGGCAAACAGTGACGCCAGACAATTAGCTGTCGTCACTGTTCAGGTATTCTGACAAAGGCACAACAAACCGCTGTCAGAATACAAAGTGCACAGTGGGAGATTCATCCATCCACGCTATTTAGCATGAATGGAGGAATCCGTTATATTTTTTTCATTCAGCCCATAGCTGAACTAAAAAAATATAACCGTGTGTGGCCAGCTTTAGTTTAGGTTTTGCACTTATGATGGTTAGAAATGAAAAATAAGATTATAAATATATATTTTTTTCTCAGTCAGGTAAATAAGTTAAAATTCTCAATTAATATTGATGTATTTTTTTGAAGCCAAAAAGGTGGAGCTTTTTTTTTTGCTTTTACATGTGTCCAAGGTATGTTTTACTGGTCTGTTCTAAAAGGCCTGTTTACATTGTTCAGTAGCTCCAGGTAAAATGTATACCCAAATTTGAAGGACTTATTAAAAGTGACATTCTTTATCAGAAGGCTCATTCCAAGGTAGACAAATCCAGAGGTGAAGCAAGGTGTGCAGTTTTTGTAGCTATCCCGCAGTCGTTGGTCAAGTATTCATTTGTTTAAAAAAATTGAAAATAGAAGTCACACACAGTAAGGCCTCATTCACACTGCTAAGAGCCGGCCCGTACAGATCCGTGTGGCGTGCATGGCCATATCAGGCCGCTTCCGGGAAGGACAGGTGCTGCGTGTGATTGTAAGCAGCAGCCTGTTCTTCCCTATGGCAGTACGCAGCCGTACGCTCACCCAAACTGCACATCCATGCAGGTGTCTGTGCTCAGACACAGACAGGATCCATCCTGTCTGCGTCCAAGTACGGACACTCGCACCCAAACGTATGTGCAGCTCGGGTGAGCATAGGGCTGCATACTACCATAGAGAAGATCAGGCTGCTGCATACAATCACACGCAGCACCTGTCCTACCGGGGAGCGGCCCAATACGGCTGTGCACACTGCACGGATCTGTACAGGCCGGCTCTTAGCAGTGTGAATGAGGCCTAAAACAGACAGACATTACTTTAAAAGCTTATTAAAAAAAATAATAATATATATAAATTAGACCCAAAACCAATATAGTTTAAATTTATGGTTTACCAATGTATAGGGATCTATTCACAACTTTGTGTGCATTACCACATGTTGCGTTAAGGAAGGCTATTTAATTTGAATGGACACTTAAGAGACAACACATTACTATTTTTGTCAATGTAACGCAGCAAAACACAAAGATTCACATCTGTACCTTGTACTGTGCTATAGCATATTACAGTGCCATATCACAGTGCCGTGCTTCTTGCAGGATTTTTTTTTTTCTCCTATGTACACTATAAGTCACGTGCCACCGCTATGTGACTCCTGTGCACATTCACAGGAGTTACAACCAGAATGCTCATACCATGGCCAAAGAGGAGCATCGCAGGACCGTAAAAAAGCTGTGGGATGATGGCAGCATTGGGCAGAGCGGCAACTAGAGCCTTGGCCTGTCATCACTGGAGGCAGACACACTGAGATAATGTGTGCCATGATGTGCAAGAATGCTGCGCATGTGAACCAATGAGAAGTTGATCAACCAAAACATAAATCGCACAACCTCATGTGATCAATGAGAAAAAAAGGGCCAAGAAGGAACAGGTCTCAAGACAGAACCTGCCAGTGTCTGTGGCAGTATAAAGACATCATTATCTGAATCGATGCGTCTCTCAATGGATGAGAAAGGAAATACATTTCAAGGCTATTTACATTGTTAGCCAAACCATCCTATTTATGCTGGAGATTATTTTATATGTAATGTGTAATAAGTCAAGTAAAACCGGAGATTTTATGAATCTAGACTTTTTAAAACACTAGTACCTGCTAACTGAAGTGTCCTATCCGGACATAAAAGTATGCACTGCTGCAGAACAAAACAATACGTATTACATGTACATTTGTTTAAGATGATGAAATAAATGTAAATATGTAATATGAAGAAAGGTGAAATACTGAACAAACACTCCAAAGCATAGTAACCAATGTAGTGTCTGAACATAAAGAATCATAAACACAGTCCTTACCTGGAGCATAAACAGCTAACCCTCTGGGTAGAATCCACAAAATCCCAACATGTTCTACTCACTGATACCTCTTCTTCCTGCGTGATGGCACCAGATACCCTTTAGATGGGGCAAAAGAGAGAAACTTTAAATTTCCTTGAGAACAAGAACACTTGTAGGTTACAAATGACACTTCCAGAAAAACATTGTGCTCATTAGAGAGTCGACCAACTTTACTTTAAGTTCTATGTAAATGTCTGCAACCAGATTTTACAGAGCTACTCACATGTAGGGCGAGTTGGTATGCAAGTGTAACCTGTCTCTCTGAGGGCTTGTTCACACTGAATGCTGTGTGCTCCAGAGCGGTATATGTGAATTCAATGCACCGCCACACCCTCTCCCGCCCCAGAACGTATGAGGAAGTTTTGTGAGCGATTGCAGTGCATTCCAGCAGCTACCGCTCTGGAACGCACCGCATTCGGTGTGAACAAGCCCTGATGTATCACCAGTTTAATTCAAATATCGAAGGCTAATGGCTGTGAGGAACAAATGCCACTGAACCTCATTTCAGCCATTCTGTATCTGAGACAGCAAGGAGCCTAAAGTAGGAGTGGCTGCGAATAGATACTTAGATTACAAAAATGTTAAGTAGAAAGTGACCCCAGATTTCTAGATTGACTAGCGTGAGAGTCTCACACAATACAACAATGCCTAGATGATAAATTGAAGAGGTAGGCTGTGCTGCCAGTAAAATCTTAAGGTTTCATTTTCACTTATGGCTACTTTTTAAATATAAATCAAAACTGAAACAGACATACCTGGATGGGTTTCTGTTCAAGATGCATTCCCTCCATGCTCTCTGTGTCATGTGACTTCGCAGCTTCAAATAGCTCCTTCCTGCACGCTTTGGACTGTGCCCTGTATTGCTGGCAATGTCCGCTGTTGCTTGGTTGCTCCCATTTGCCGACAGTGGCCTAAATTCCCCTGGAAAGAATTAAACATTGATATGCTATTGCTATGCAGGACATATAAAAGATTAACATGCTTTTCAATTGTGCGGCACAATGAAACCGTGTACAAATCTGCCCTTCCGTTTAAATGACTGCACATCTATACCATTGCTTTCGCAAAGAAAAATATTCACCATAAGTATCTGAATTTCTCAGAAATAGCCAGCAGAGGGAACCCAAGAACATGAGAAAGTTTACATTCCCTGGTTCTACAGCAAATAAAACTGTATTTTCAGCTGGAAAATCACTTTGTCTCTAGAGCAACAAGGAAACAAGACACAGCTTTGAATGAAAATGTTGTAGAGTATTAAATATTCTTGACTGCTGTCAGAAACGATGACAACGAGTTGCATTTTTACACTACACAGATAATTTACAAGAATATACAAAAGTGTACATTAAGAGAACCAAGTATCAGTTCATTAAAATCACGACTTCTTAAATCTGGTATGAAATCCCAGATGTGAAAATGAAAGAACAACCTGTGTAACATCTTGCTGAACTTAGAGCACATCTAATCCCTGAAACAACAATGTAATATCGCAGCTAGTAAACATATGAAGAACACATCCTACGCTTATTTACTGCACTGCATCAATGAAGGGAGCCATGGGTGTCACTCATGCTGGACTGGAGTGGGGAGATCAGTAGTTTCCAGAAGGAAGATAACATGGTTTGTGCTTTGGGTTCAGCTCACAGAAATTGACAAGGATACTGTTCTGGCAAGATTAACAGTCATTCTCTGTATTTGCTGAAAATATTCTTAGCCTGAAAAAAGAAAACCAATGCAGCCACCACATCTTAGGACTGGTACGCTGCATTTTTTTATTATGTTCTTTGGTTTAAAAATACTTAATAAAACAAATTTAAATGTAATCTTTAAGAGAAGTGAGGATAATGAGATGGGTGCTCATTGGTTTCTGTTGGGTTATGGATCAGCAATATTGCACCTGTTTTATATACTGTAAAAGGTCAAAGGCATGTAACACTTTCCACATAATCACACTTACCAGGTACAGTCTGATCTGGTGAAGTGGGCGGAGTTAGTGGCATTCTGCATGGGCTGGGGTCTTTAGTAGCAGCGGTGTTTTGCTGTATACTTGCGGTATTATGCGCAGAGACTCCAGTGCTGGGTGGAACAGGCAGATCACTTTGCGCAATAAGAACAAACGCAGAGGGGTACACCATCCGAACACCACCTAAGAAAAAAAAAGTTTTTTTTCCCACATTCATTTTTCAATCAGACTTTTTTTTTAATCAATGCTGGTTTAAAACTGCTGTTCCTTTACACTGCGTTGCTTCTTGCATTAACTCATCCCATTCATTTTAAATGGGCTACCAACGCAAAGGAACGAAACAAAAAACAGACATGCCACAGTTTTCTAGAGCTCATGTTAAAACACATTGAAACATCAAAAGATGCAGATTGCAGCACACCACAATGCACAGTAACACACCAAAAAGTGTGCATTTTTTGGTTCGTTCCTGTGCACTGGCAGCCCATTTAAATTGAATGCGCTGCCTCAATGCAATACACAGGACAGTACTTCAAAGCTGCATTGTCTTAGTGTGTTGGGGGTGTCATTCAAAATGAATGACATTGCAATGCTAACGCACAGAATATGTGAACGCACACATTGCCGCAAAACACCGTAACCCAAGAGATGTGTTCCAGCCTTAGAAGAGGTCAATTTCTGTACTGAAAATATCCTCCAACACAAGCAGACATTTTACAAAAAAAAAAAACAACAACTTAGTTGTGGCTTTGAGCATACTATAGTGCATTCTGATGCATCTGTGCATTTTAACATTGAGCTCCAACAACAAACTATAAAATGCATGCTACAAAGTTAATCGGCATGCATTTTCAAAATACTGAAGTGTGAGTAATAGCTTTAAAAAATCATGCCCCCCCCATCCTACTACTCTTTTACTTAATGTTTTTAACGTTTAGACTCACTTGTGTGCAAGCATTTATACTAAGAAGTTCCATGCTCTAGTATACAAGTTATACTCTGTAGGATTAGATCACTGAGGTAAAACCATACAACAAAACCTTCAGCTCTTGTATCTACATTCGTGGTGTCAACAATAGCTCCTTACCTATGATTACTTCCACTGCTGCAGGAAAGTCATCATCATAAAGCATTTCCTGATCTTCCTGTTGTTCTTTTCTGGCAGACAACACAGTAGGGTAAAAAGGTCGCCATTCCTCCAGCAGTTTGCGCGTGGTGGGGTCAGAGGTTTTATAAGCATGCCCAGTAAGGGTACCACTCAACCCATAAGGGCTCAGGATCACTAATGAAAATAAAATAAGATTTTATAAGTTATTTTCTATGTATGCACAATACATTCAACCATCTCTTGGCTGGAAAGACAATGCTACCATTCTGTTTTATGTGGACTTTAACAGAAAGTTACAGGTTTCCAAGATGCTGGTGGGACATCCATCCTACCACCCACACAGAAAAAAGGCATCAATGCTGCTTGACCTGAGCTAGGTCCTCTAGCATAAGGACCAACAGAGGATACAATGTTTTCACCAGTCCACTTAAAACTGAATTATTTATTTGATCTAGAGCTCTCCTTTAAGAACTGACATGGTTGTCTTTCATTCTAGACCACAATATAGAAACAGATGACTTCACACAATGATCCTGTGGTTTAGAGTGACAAGATCTCTGTTGGGCTCACCTTGGCATGGCGTGTGGGAGGTCTGAGCCAGATGGAGATGATGTTGGTTGATGAGATACGCTGGCTGGTGCTGAGCAATCTCCACACTTGTGCAAACACTGCTTTCTCCATGGAGAAAAAAGGTAAAGGAGCAGGAGAGGTTCTCGCTGAGGACAAAGAGGCAAGGCCCATAGTTATTAAAAAAACTCACTACTGCATAGTACCTGTGCTCTACTCATCTTAGGTGGTTCTATTGTTTAATCACCTGATGTGTAGGAAGAAATGAATAGCACATAAGACAGCTGTCTGGGGAAATAATGATACATTCCGCAAGAGTCACACACAAAGAGTCAGACAAATCAGAAATATAATCTTTGTAGAACACAATATTCACATATTTAAAAAAAACAACAAGGCACAGAGGCTTTGGACTGCTTTTTTATAGTACTGTATTCGTGTATCTCTATGCATACTGAACAGAGAAAAGGGAGGCTATGAATAATGCTGACACAGTAGGCTGTCCAGATGTCTTGTGTATTTTCACCAACGTATTGTTTATTGTCCCTATACTAGAATTATATCATCTCTCCGTATCAAATGAAATCCTAAAATGATTTTCAGCTTGAACAGCCTAAAGACAAAAGTGGGCTTGTCTGGTTACATGTCCTCGAAGGTGTTTTATATAGCCCCAGGGAGATCTCGCTATTCCAGCAAGGGCACGTGAACAGACATACTGTAGTTGGGGGTTAGATTGGCTGGAATAATCAGAATCATTCTCTGCATGCAGGGAGATAGATGGGAGGGGGATGCTGTCCTAATGACATCATGCCAGGAACTTGTCGACTTAAACCAGGTTGCCATAGCAACAGCTAATGTCTCCATGTCAGCCTATGCATAATTACAACACTGAGGAGGAAAACACACATGTATGCGCACTGATACACACAAAGTAGCAGACTGCAAAATGAGAATATACTCCTATTCTTACACCAATCAGAAGACAGAAAGGAGAGAGGGAGGGAAATGTACATGTTACTTAAAATGTATGGAGCTCCACACAACTCTGCATTGCACAGGTCAAAAAGACAAACGCTACATGCACCACTGAACAGAGTGCCGCTTGGAGTATCTCTATCACAGCAACTCTTCATACTAATATACAAGGGGAGGTGGTGGCACATAATGTTAACAAGTGTTCACCCCTTCACGACCAATACACTTCACACCTGTGACATTCATGATCTACATACATTTTACATGTCAAGGTTTGCAGGAGAAATCTAGCCCGTCAGTGGACAAACTTAAATCTAGAGATTTCAGTCTACCTGATGAATGAACGCAGCAAGCAGAGAGGAAAAAAAGGTCATATTTTGTCACATAAATAAAGAAACTTTAGATTTGTATTTTTTTCTACAGCAAGATCTAACATGAGAATTATTATGATTGCTCTTTATTAAGCACAACATTTTTACTACACTGAAGGAGATAGAACATGAAGCACAAGCTCTAGCGTCAAGAGCCACGACTTGTGTGCTTCTTGGGAACCTTTGCAGAGTAGTCTAACAGCAAATACTGACAGAACGCATAACATACTTCTTCCACATGGGCAACCTTACAGGGAACGTTCTCCTGGAAGCCTGCTATTTACCTTTTCGACACGTGTTTTTCCTCCCTCTCGCAAGGCTTCACAAACCACTTTCCAATTCGCACAAAACCTTTATCCAGCAAACATCTAGAAAGGATAAAGTATGGAAACATTTATATTTCGTGAAAAAACTCTATCAGAGCAATGTTACTAGTTCCAATCAATTCCCAACCCAAACTTAATAGGCGGCCCTTTTTCAGAGCATTCAAATCGAAAAGATAATGGGGGAATTTATCAAAACTAGAGCAGGCAGAATCTGGAGCAGTTGCCTATAGTAACCAATCAGCTTGTCTCCCCAGTTTGTTCAGTTAAGCTTTGAAAATGAAAGATAGAAGCTGATTGGTTGCCATGGGCGACTATTCCAGATTCTGTCTGCTCCAGTGTTGAAAAATTCCCCTCAATTACTTTACTGAAAGCTTTTTTTTTTTGTTATGCCACTCCAGGGCCATGTCCTGGTGGCTATAATACAACTTCTATAAATTGGGGAGAGAGGAGGAAGTGGAGAAACTTCTGCATACCCTTTCAGTGGCTGCCGTTAACCCCCAGCTGCACTAGAAAATCAGCGATGTAGCGGGTAGCCGGCGCCACTCATGGGAGGATTTCTATAATAATCAGCAGCCACCAGGACATGGGACAACCCTCACTGGTGGCACGGTATGTCCCTGGGACTGCATTATAAAGAAAATTACTAAACTTCAGCTTGTGGTTTAATGGCTTGTTCACATCTATGCATTGTGAAAATGCATGCATTACTGCAACATGTGGAAAAACAACATGCACATGTTGCAGTCATTTATTTTCAATGGCACCCCATCACACTTAGGAAACGCACCTGCAACGCATCAACAAACGGTAATGCATTACCGCATGTTGCAGTATGCTACTTCTACCAAAAATGGTGCAAGTCCTATTTTCAGTTAGTTGTGGTGTGTTGGCAGCCCATCTGTGGCATGAGTGCATTCACACCTTGGGTTAAATGCACAGCAATGGATAGGCTTGGTGTAAATGGGCCCTGAGGACAGTGAAGGCAAGTGAGGGCATTACAGCATGAAGTACAGAAACAAAAGAGCAATGTTTATAAAGCCGGTCTTTTAGGAAAAATATAACTACGTTTTTCAGGTGAATCACAGATAAATGAGGATTGTGATTTTCTTACATTCTGATTCACAGAAAAAGTGCAAGTTCATGGAATTGTGAAAAAAAAAAAATGAGTGGGATCACTGATGTACGAGGTGGAGGCCCCTAATGCAGTATCTAGAATATGACATGAGGAATGACCGTTATTATAAATATCATTATTTATAATAGTCATTAGAGTGTGGTAAGAAGGGTGACGCCTAACAAGTGACAAAAGTGTATGATGAGAAGTCAACCCCTAATAAGGACACTAGTGGGTAACATGTGGTGAATCCCTCAATGATGGGAGTATGATGTAGGGGGGCGGGGGGTGAAATTAAGGTCACAACAGTGCAATACATAAAAGGTAAAGCTGCCCAAAATTAAGCTGCAACTGTGTTTATTGTAAGCTCACATCAACTGTCAGGCCAGCAGAGCCTTTGTGCATAAAGGAAAGACTTCATGCATTAGCAATTACAGGAAAAGAAAATGCACGGCAAGCAAATAGAGAAGCTGCAGCTGCTGGCTGCCTTATGAAAATGCTGGTCATCTGGCAGCCACAGTTACAGTGCCTTGTAAAAGTATTCTCCTTCAATTGCATTACAATGTGTAACGGAAATTTATTTTTTGGGGGGTTGTACCATGTGATGTACACAACATGCCTTCCACTTTGTAGGTGCAAAATAACTTTTGTGGCAGCAGAAATGGTAATTAAAGATAAACCAGAAAAAAAATGCATCCACTGATATCTACTCCAGGTCAGAACCCCTGATCTGTATGCTGTGCATGTTCCAAGTCAGTAACTTACAATACTGAAGCCACTAGGTCAGCATGAAAGCCAGAAAAATAGCATTTTCAGAATATATGAATGACAGCATCCATGTTTCTCTCATGACAGGTTTTATTGAATCAGAAGGAATGGCTTGTACCTCGTCCCAATCCATGAAATGTGACCAACTGTTGAGGTTTTAACTATCAATTCAAAATTTTGATGTGAGCTTTACAATAAAACAGCAGAAGACTGTGTGGGTTCTTCTGCATATTGCTGTGGGGGAGTCAAGACCCAAGACAAGTGTCTGCCACTTTTGCACTGCAGGTATGCCTTTGCATAGGGGACAGAGTACCTTTATCCTTGCCATATATGACGTGAAAAACATGGCTCATACGAAGGATTCTATAATGTGAGAGACATGGTCCACAGTGAAGGTCACTAGGGTGTAAGACACGTGACCCATAGTGAGGGGTTACAAATTTATAAGATGTAGATCCTACTGAGATCAATGGTAACAGCTACCGCACACCTCAGCAACATCACCTGCTGCTAAACAGCCAGAGTTTGAAAACAGTCGCCCTTCGAATGATAAGTGGCTGGTATACTGAAAATCAAATGCCGTGCGTCATTACACAAGATCAGTTTCAGGTCTGTTCTTACTAACCACACAGTGTGTGCGTGTGTGCGTATAAAAAGTATTATTAGTATAAAACTAATAATGTGGCGATGGATCCAAAAAGTTACCAAGCTTTTGTAAGCTTGTAAGAAAAGTTATATGTTCTCCTATATAATAAGCCTAATCAACATGTAAAGTTCTATACTAAACAGTCTTGGGGCCTATTCACACCAGTGGTCACCCTGATCTGTATCAGTGGCGTATGTTCTGGAAGGGCGATGTGCAGTTTCCTTTTTTTATTAGGAAAAAAGAAAATAGCACTGCGCTTCAAACTCAAAAATTATATTCCTAAAATGTGAAAAAAATAGTACAAACTGTGAAATTGTCACAAAGGGATACACAATTTTGTGTCATACACAACACCTGTTCCTTTTTTTATTGAAATGTCACTAAATGACACTAAATTTCTTTGCACTGTATCACTGTGTAAAAATCCAGCATGTCCTACCTTTTTTAGCACACACCAATAATGCAGAGCAATAGTGTGAACTTAACTAACAGGACAAAGGTCAAATTGCTTTGCCTATGCGTTGGAACTCTGTTGAGCAAAGCTGTCAAACGCAGCCCGAGGCATATGGTGTGAATGGGCCCTTAAGGAGTATTTCTGATCTATGAGGTTCACTCTCTCACCATTGATATTATTCTTGTCTGAAGCATCCACCCAGCTATTTATCTGTTGTGATCAGTAATCTATTATAATCCCTATGTAAGCAAATCTCTTACCTTTCCAGAAGATTGTGAATGGCCTTGAAGAGTAGTGTCCGACACTCATAGGAAAGCCCATTTTCCCACAGTCCCTCTTCCTGCACTGAAAAAGAAAAGTAGACTAGTATCAATTCAAACACAGGACCAAATGAAGGAAGCGTTCATGATCTCAAAATGATCCACAATTTCCAGGGGTGTAACTACAAATCATGGGGCCCCTGGATAACTCTCTGTGTAGCAGATGGCGGTGACAATATGCGTCATTGATCCTAACATGAAGTATGTACCAAGGACAGGCAGCAAGAGAGCCGTCAGCATAGTCAGTCCACTACTGGGGAGCAGTTTTGGGGGTACAAGTTATAGTAGCACTAATAATTTAAAAAAAACCCATAATGATATTTGATAGTATGATAAAATGAATAATGCTCTTGCACAAACTTCTTTAAAAGTCTAGCTTTGTTAAACTTACTTTGTAGAACTACAAACCTCAGCCTTCCCATAAAGTTTAACATAGGCGAAACTCTGGCATTTGTGACTGCATTAGGCATATGGGGTTAATGTCAGTCTGTAGAAGAAGTTCACTACTAAGATAGATAAGCAAATGCTTCTTACTGCACAGGGCGGGATCAGTGACCAGACAATCCTTAGATCAAACATCAGCTCTTCTATACTGAAAACTTCAGTGTAGTTTTCCTAATCAGCTCCCCTAATGGGGCCCCCTCCTACCCCCGGCCCCATAGCAGTGGGCTGCTATGGCTATTATTATGCCACTGACAATTTCATCAAGAAGATGTTGCTTCATCACCTTACTAATAGCACGGCAAAGTGTTGTGTGGTTAAAATCAAATTATCTATAACACCACCACCATGCTTCAACACTACTATGTATTATTGTTCTACATAAGATTGACTTGTAATCGATGCTATGTTATTATGCTTTGCACTGTTAGTATTTATAGGTTTTAACTTTTCTACAAAAATGTGTTATTGACCATTGTATTTTTTTTTTCTGATCCACAAATAAAGAATTAAAAAAAATATATATCCAAGCAGAAACTACTTGCAGCATTGCACTTTTATTATATTATACCAAGTAAAATAAACCTAAAATGCCTGCCATCTAATGCATGAAATGTCAATGTTTTTGCTTGGCAAGGTGTTCAACAGATCACCTACGGACACTTCCAACAGGAGAAAGCTAATTAGCTATGTTGGAAATTGGTACCTGTTCCCTAGAAGCTGTACATTCATGTCAAATTCCGATGTCACAAGAACATCTGCAACTGTCAGTCACATTGTAAACTTCAAAGCTTTGTGCAACGCAAATGTGCAGCACCCAGAGCAACTGATCCAAATCCATCTTGTGCTGGCCTAACTTCAGTAAGCTGAATTTGATTGGTACCAACGGGTTACCACATTTAGTGGGATGGGTATCATCGGCAATAGCATTTGAATCACCAAATTTCAAGAATGCAACATGATTTGGGAACACTGTAATTTGGGAACTTGGGTAATGTTATTTAAAATTAGTATGAAAGAAAAAAGAAAAACAACAGACAAAAAAAATTGGCAGTGAAATATTAACAGTATTAGAAAGATGAATTGGCCATACACTGCTCAGTTCCTGCTAAATGCACCTAATTTAGGTCACAGGCACTGGGACATATACCCATTGTTGAATAGACCGATGCGGCTAAATACACAGATATAGATCCAGAAAGGCCAACACATTCCAGGTTGCAATATCTATTGATGGGGCTAAATAATTAACCCTTGAGCATCTACTCAGTTTTCCCAGATCTTGTAAAATGTTAAGACCATTCCAACCCAAACTAGGAAGTTTATAAAGAGGTCGAACCTTATTGATTGCCCATTGCCATGTGTGTACTATAGGTGGAGTGGGGGCCTAAATGCTCAAATATTTACCTTCCTACTCAATCCAGCGATTTTTCACCTCTGTCGCCCTACCTGATCCCATGGAGCCTCTTCCAGTGAAATGTGCCCATCCTTTTAGTGTGCATGTGCACTAGGGGGTTAACCGTACTCATGGTGACCTGCAGCAGTTCAGGTTCGTACGGCTTGCCAATCAGAATGCATGGGGTCACAGGCACACATTCACATTGTAGAAAACTAGAATTTTTGTGTACTTATCGTAACATCAGTTTCAGAGTTCATTAAGGGACACAGGTTTCAGTTACCCAGAGACAACTGGGTTATACTGCTGCCTATAGGAGTATTAGGGCACTGGCTAACAAAACAGTGGCCAGCCAGGTGTACCCTCTCCCACTCCCAGAAAGCTTCCCTTTTGTAGAAAAGCAGTACAAAGGAGTAGATCACAAACAGAGGGTACCTGTGTCCCTTAATGAACTCCAAGAAACAGATTTCATGGTGAGATCATTTTACTGAAGTTCATTAAGGGATACTTCAGGCCACTCCAATAGTGCTTTGGGCTGCTCTGCATTTCCCAGGATTTTAAGTAGGGACTTAAAAATTAAATTAAAGCAGAATTCAACTTTAAAGCATTTCTTTTTTTATTGTAATTCTAGACTTGCTAGAAAAGCCCCACAATTGTCATATTTAGTATGATGGTTGCAATATACTGTATATTATGGCAATGTTTCATAAACAAACTTCCAGATATTAGAAAGCACAGCAATGTAAGTATGCATATTAGTATAGTTCTCAACCCTACACAAAGACAGCTGTAACATACAGGCTAAAGCACTTACATGTTTATTCCTCTAGTTCAAAAAGAGTGATGGTCAAAGTTCAGCAACCCACAGCAACCAGGTAACATTGATTGCTGTGGAATACTGCTCGTTGCACGGCCTGTTATTGCATTTCAGAATCAACATAAGCTTGAGATGTTTGGCTGAGAGACACTCCCACAGCTCTCAATAAATCTAGCTGAAGCGGTATGCAGCCTTTAGACATTACAGACAATATGACAGTCAACTAATCTGGCAACAATGAAATGCCTATAGGCCCTGTGCAAAACTGCACTCAGGGAAATTAGAAGAACAAAATTGCTTGTTCCAAGCTGTGATAAGCACCACTGGCAGTACTTGCTGCTTTTTCATACACAGGCTTACAAACATTGGTCAGTGTGCCATGGAATACTGACCAGTTGGAGGGTGCATGGGTGTTTGACCATCAATGGAGGTCTAGTACCTTTTCTCTAATATAAAGTAATCAAGAAAATCCTTTTGTCTGAACTGGGCACAACAGGCATGTGTATTTAAAGTGACACTAAACCCAGGAGATTTTAGAAATACATTCAAGTACCTTAACTATTGTGTATCACTCAGCTGTAGATCCTCAAATCATCTCTGAATTGGTGGTGACACTGTCCTTCCATCCGGAGGGTGGCTACTTTGTTCCCCATGGTCCCTGTGTGTGTTGTAAAGTAGGCAGCTCACTCGTGTGATAGCCTACAATCTCTATACAAATTAGTAAACTAAAAGTGAGATTGTAGTCCATCACGGGAGTGAGCTTGGAGAGGTGGCTACTTTACAATACACAGGGACCATGAGGAACAAAAGTAGCCACCCTCCAGGTGGAAGGACAGTGTCAGCACCAATTCAGAGATGATTTGAGGAACTACAGCTGAGTGATACACAAATAAACTAAATTATTATTATTATTATACAGGATTTATATAGCGCCAACAATTTGTGCAGCACTTTACAAAATGGAGGAGACAGTACAGTTTCAGAACAATAGGGTTAGGAGGGTTCTGCTTGTGAGAGCTTACAATCTAGTAGGACGGGCAAGTGATACAAAAGGTAATAATTGTTTAGATTCAGTTATTGGAGGAAGTAAAAGGGCAGATGGGTTTTTAAGGATCGCCTAAAGGGGGGCAGCATAGGAGATAGGCGGACAGATAGGCGGACAGATTGGGGTAAGGAGTTCCAGAGGATGGGGGATGCTCTGGAGAAGTTCTGGAGGTGAGCATGGGAGGGGGTAATTAGAGAGCAGGAGGTCTTGAGAGGACGGTTTGGGTGATATTTTGAGATGAGGTCAGTGATGTAGTTTGGGGCGGAGTTGTAGATGGCTTTGTAGGTTATTGTTAGTATTTTGAATTCTATAAATTGGGCAATTGGGAGCCAGTGGAGGGATTGGCAGAGAGGGGCGGCAGACACTGAACGGTTGTTAAGGTGGATGAGTCTGGCAGTAACATTTATAAAGGAAGGGGGGATAGCCTGTTTAGTGGTAGGCCAACAAGGACAGAGTTACAGTAGTCGAGGCGAGAGATTACAAGGAAGTGAATTAGAAGCTTTGTGGTTTCGTTTGTTAAAAAGGGGAGTATTTTGGAAATGTTACGGAGGTTGAGTCGGCAAGATTTGGATAGTGATCGGATGTAGGGCTGAAAGGAGCTGAGTCAAGAATTGCACCGAGTACCCTGGCTTGATGGGAGGGGTTGATCGTAGTGTTGTTGATTGTGATGGGGAAATTGGGGGAGGGAACACAAAGGAGGAAAAATTATAAGCTCAGTTTTTGACAGATTAAGTTTGAGGAAGTGGTGACATCCAAGCTGAGATGTCACTGAGTAGATTTGAGATACGTGAAGAGACAGAGGGGGGGGAGTTGAGGAGTGGAGAGATAGATTTGGGTGTCATCGGCATAAAGATGGTATTGGAAGCCATGTGAGTTCAGCATCACTTTAATATAACCTCCTTTATCTACATATAAGTCACAAAGTAGTGAAAATATCACATTGCTGGTTAACAACTCAGTGCGTTCAAGCAACAGGAGAACAAGTGAACTGCACTGTAGATAAATGTACAACACAGCATTCAACGTGACAAACACTGTGTAGGACACAGAAAAAAGGCGGGAGGGGGATTCACTAACCGATGAATAGGAGGGAGGAGGGAGAAAACTTGAGTTGGTTAACATATGCTGCAGTGAGTCAGTGCCGGCTGCTAGAGGGGGGAGACGTCCTGAAGTCTAAGCTTCAGACACACAGTTGCAAATGATGCTTCTTCCCAATAACCAGAAGTTCCAGTAAATATTTGGATTTCATTTTAATTATTCTAAAGTGAACAAAAATTGTTCAATAAATATGACTTCTGTTTTGCTATACAGAATATCAATAGAATT